TATGCATCACCATACCCCACCTTTTTTTTTAATGTGGATTCTGAGAGTTGTATTAAGGTCCTCATGCTTGTATGGCAAGCACTTCACTGACTGAGCCATTTCCCCAGCCTAAAAAAGATTTATTCTTATTAATTTGGTTATGTGTATCTGTATGTGTTCAAAGGTGCTCTTGGAAGCCGTGCCAATGGATGTCCTGGAGCTAGAGTTACAGGCAGTTGTGACCCACCTGACATGGGTGCTGGGAATCGAACTCAGGCCCTCTGCAACAGCAGTGCACACTCAGCTACTGAGCTATCTCTCCAACCCCTTCTTAATATAAAAAAATCTATATTTATGTGTATGGATGTTTTGTCCGCATGTATGTCAGTTTACCACATGAGTACCTGGTGCGTGCAGAGGCCAGGCAAGGGTATTGAATCTCTTGGAACTGGAGTTACAGATACTTGTGAGTTGCCAAATAGGTCATAGGAATTGAACCTTGATCCTATGGAAGAACAACTGGTACTCTTAACTGCTGAGCCATTTCTTCAGCCCCATAGGGAGTTTGGTTGTTTTAACTGAGACAGGGTCTAACTATATAGCCCTGGCTGGCTTGCAACCTGTTGTGTAGACCAGGCTAGTCTTGAATTTCGAGCTCTGCCTGCTTCTGCTTCCTGAGTACTATGATAAAAGGTGGTGTTACCATGCCCATCCTCCTTAAACTTTATATGGCCTAAAATATGATCTAATTTCTAGAAAGTTCCGTGGGTAACTGAGAAGAATTTGTATGAGACAGGTGTTGTGTGGAATATCCTGTAGATGTCTGTGTTTATTCTGTCCATTTTATCTGTACTGTAGTGTAACTGGTTTCTTTACTATTTTTGCCTAGATGAGAACTTTGGTGGCAAGGAGTTACTGGAGTTGCTCCCTATGATTTTATTTGTACCCACTTGTCACTTTATGTTGCTCGTGTCTGTTTTATGAAATTGGGTGTACCAATATTTGATGCATGTTTATCTACCGTTATATTTTCTTGGTTTATTATTCATTTATTAGTTTGTGGTGACCATCTTTCTTTTCTTTGCTAGAGTTTGGACTCTGGGCCTTGTGTGTGCCAGACAAGTAGTGTACTACTAAGCCATAACCCCATCCAGGGACCTTCTTTAGTTTTTCTTAATAATTTTGTTTTGAAGTCAGCTTTGTCATCTATGGGAGTAGCTAATTCTGTTTGCTTTCAGATTCTTTTTGCTTTGCTTATCATTTTACTGTCCATTTGGTCTCAGTGTGGCTTTGCTAGTGAGGCAAGTCATTAATTGACAACAAACATTTAGATCTTGAGTGTTGTTGTTCTTTTAATTCCATATAGGCAGTCTGTGGCCTTTTTACTAGTGAATTAATGCCATTTACATTTAAGGTTGTTATTGAAAAGGTATGTACTCTTCTGTCCCTTATCTTAGTCATTGCCTCATTTAAAGAGTTAATAATGTTTGATTCTTCTCACCTAATTCTTATTTACATGCTCTATCAAGATTTATTTATTTATTATGTATATAGTGTTCTGCCTGTATGTCTGCCTACAGGCCAGGAGAGGGCACCAGATCTTATTACAGATGGTTGTGACCACTATGTGGTTGCTGGGATTTGAACTCAGAACCTCTGGAAGAGCAGCCAGTGCTCTTAACCGCTGAGCCATCTTTCCAGCCCAAGATTTATTCTGTCCTAAGGGCTCATGATCATGTATTTTTAAAACATTTGTTATTATTTTAATTATGTATACTTGTATATATTTATGGATGGTATGTGTTCATGAGTGCAGGTGCCTTTGGAGGTTACAGTTGAGGCAGGGGATCCCTCTGGAATTGGAGGTACAGGCAATTGTGATGTACCTGATAAAGGTTCTAGGAGCTGAACTCAGGTTCTCTGTAAGAGCTTAAGAGTTTCAGCTTCGATGTAACCCACAGCTGATAGGACTCACTGTTCACTAGGGAGGGTGGGAGCACATTCTGTCCTCATCCTCCATGCCTCACATTTCCTTCCACTTAAAGCTCAATAGGTCTGTGTCTAACTTGTTCTCTCTCTGTTAATTTCTCTTGTGGACGTCTTCCATCCAGACACTGTGACAGGGTAACTCTAGGTGTCTTCAGTATCCCTATTCCTGAGCTTCTGATCCCCGCCTTGTTTTCAGTTCTGTCGAATAGCTTTGTCAAGCAATGGGCCCCCTCTCAAGATGATACCTGATGATGACACTCCAGCATTTGGGGAGTGACGCATTGAACTGCTTCTGCAGTGTTAGTCAGCCATGCAGGGACACTGAGTGTCACACCAAATCTCCATATTTGATTTAATGCTTGCAGGACTGCCACTCAGTTGCCCCTCCGGCTGCCTGGACTCTACTGCTGACGTGTGCTTGCTACTTACCTTCTTTTGCACCCTCTTGATGGGGCTGGAGCTGTGGGCTGTTCCTTCGGTCTCTTTGCCTCTGTGGTTTTCTTTTTAGATGTATTTCACCTCTTTCTTGAGTCTTTCACATTCACTTTGTGTCCTTGTAATACAGAGTCTCCATTGTTGTCCTGACTTCTTATTTTGGGAGTCATATGGAAAGAAATGTCTTGTTTCTTTTTGTTTTTTTGAGACAGGGCTTCTCTGTCTAGCTTTGGAGCCCATCCTGGCACTCGCTCTGTAGACCAGGCTGGCGGAAGGAAATGTCATAACTTGCCACCTTACTACTGAACTTTGCCCTCTTCTGTGCCTTTTCCTTTATGATTTTATTTTTTTCCTAGCAGATTTATTGGGAAAATTCATATATTGTAAAATGTTCATCTTTAAAATATACAATTGTATCAGGTGGTTTCATAGATTTATGCCATCATCACTATTGTCTAAGTTGAGAACATTTCATTACCAAAAAGAAATTCCCTACCATTTAATAGTTATCCCATGACTGCCAATCCTCACAACACTATAAAACCATTGCTCTCCTTTTTGTCCATATAGATTTGCCTACTTTACATTTTTTTTTGTTTTGTTTTTTCGAGACAGGGTTTCTCTGTGGCTTTGGAGGCTGTCCTGGAACTAGCTCTTGTAGACCAGGCTGGTCTCGAACTCAGAGAGATCCACCTGCCTCTGCCTCTTGAGTGCCTCCCATGCGCCACCAACGCCCTGATGCTTTACATATTTTATCCAAGTAAATTGTATTATGGCAGTCGGGGACTAGGCTTGCATACCTTCCCTTCTCTCCCTCCTCTTTCTTTCTTTCTTTCTTTCTTTCTTTCTTTCTTTCTTTCTTTCTTTCTTTCTTTCTTTCTTTCTTTCTT